TTGGGGGTCCCCCTCCCTGCCGGTCCCCCATGCACAGGGCTCCCCTCTCCCTCACCTGCCAGCCTCTCAGTGCCAAGACTTCCCCTGAAACTCCCTCCCGCCCCCCTGCCCCCGTGCACCGCTGCTCCCTGCCTGCTGGGCATAAGGCACCTGCTCCCAGTCACGAGTCCTGCAAGGACAGACTGGGGGCCCCCTGGTGCCAGGTGCTACAGAGACCCCAGGCCAGGCTGGGGGGGTTCCCCCCTCACACCAGATGCTGCATAGACCCCGGGCCAGGCTCGGGGGGTCCCCCCTTGTGCTGGGTGCTGCACAGACCCCAGGCCAGTCGGGGGGGGGTTCCCCCGTTGCACCGGGTGCTGCACAGACATGGAACCCCTGACAGAATGTCCCCACAGCTGAAGTTTCAGGAGGAATGATTGGCAGCAGGGGCAGAGGGGGGGGAGATGCAGCCACTCACATGGGGAGGGCTGAGGGTCAGCCAGTCTGTCTGTCTGTCTTTCCCTGCCCTGCAGTGGGACACAGCTGGCCAGGAGCGGTTCCGGACGATCACCTCCAGCTACTACAGAGGTGCCCACGGGATCATCATTGTGTACGATGTAACAGACCAAGTGAGTCGGAGCACGGAGCCCTTCCCGAGGGGGGCGTTGCACGGGGGGGTGGATTTGCTGGAGCTGCTGGTTAAAAAGGCTGTGGCCTTCCTGAGTTCTTTATCCTGAAATATTTCCCAACCTGTCGATAGATAGGAGTGGGCGTGGCTGCTGCCAGGGTCCTATCACTTAGCACTGAAATGCAGCCACCTCTGGGGTGGGACGTGGCAGCGGTTTATACCGAAATCATGTCACTCAGCACTGAGATGCGGTCACCTTTGCTGTGATATGGAGATACAGGGATCACGTCACTGAGTGTAGAGATGAAGCTGCCTCTGCATTGGGATATGGCAGCTGGTGGAACAGCTGTATGGAAACTGCGCTACATTTTCAGGTAGAAATCCACTGTCCCAGAGGAGAGGTTAATGGTATCTGCATGGAGGTTTAATTTTTAATGGACGCCCTTTCTGGGGCTTGAGTACAGACTTGGCTGCCTTCTGCTATGGACTGATCTCCGGTGCAGGATTTCTTCAGTGTGGTGGCGCTTTGCGTGTTTTTTAAAGCAACTGCCACTTCCCCCCGCTTGCAGCAGCTGCATGTGTTTGGTGTGAGACCTGAGCATTGAGAAAGTGATCTGCCAGCCAGGGCTCTGTATATATAGCAACTCTGACCTTTAAACGCGGGAAAGTCGAGGGGAAGAAGTCAAGTCACATGGGAAATGTCAATGAATCTGCTGGGCTGAATCTTAACAGCTGCCTAGGCTGGAGTGCCCCTGTCCCTTTAAAAGGGGAGCTGTGGCCCGATTGGCTAGCTCAGCTGTGTGGGGTGGGGCTTCTGTCACCTTTGCCAAAAGGCTGCAGGTTCAAGTCCTGCTTAACCTCACTCCTGGTTAATGGCCCCTCTGGGGGACACGTGTGTGACAGAAGCTGGTGGCTCAGTTTGGATGGGACGGTCTCCTATATCGGAGACACAAGCTGCCATGTTCCCCCAATTTTAGGAGCCAGTCCCACCCTGGCTGGGGGTAGACGAGGGGAAGGCTGAATGGGATTGGAGCACAAGCCTGAGCCCCTGGGGGAATAAGGGAAGAGCTGGGCTCTTCAGAAGTCACTGCCGGGGCTGGGCTGTCTCGCAGCTTCTCCGCCTTCTGCTCCCCCAGGACTCGTTCAGCAACATGCACCTGTGGCTGGAGGAGATCGGCCGCTATGCCAGCGAGAACGTCAACAAGCTGATTGTGGGCAACAAGAACGACCTGACCTGCAAGAAAGTGGTGGATTACACCACGGCCAAGGTCAGTAATAGTGAAATAGTGCACGTGTCGCACGCTTAAACCCAGCCCACAAGCACCAGTTGTCTGGGGGGGGGGTGAATAACAAGGAGCGCCTGGAGTAAGACGTGGTCAGCTGGCAGGGTGAGGTCTTTGTGCTGCTCTGCACTGGTGGGTGGTTTGATTGCTGCCCGCTTGGTTAGATGGGTCCCTCATCCCGCACTGAGATGCAGCCACCTCTGGGGAGTGGGAGATATGGCAGCTGTTTATACCGGAATCATGTCACTCCGTATGGAGTTGCAGCCACCTCTGGGGTAGGGCACAGTTGCTCTCTAGACGGGGATCATGTCACTTCATGCAGAGACGCAGCTCCTGCTGTGCAGGGATACGCGGCTGTTGAAACAGCTGCCGTAGAAACTATGCAGCATTTTCCGGCGGGAAGTGTCCACTACTTGTGTGCTGGGGGGAGCTGCACCTGCCCCCCCCCCAGCCGCCGTCTGGCACTCACCAGGCCTGTCACATTCCCCCCCGGGGCAGGAATACGCTGACTCGCTAGAGGTGCCGTTCCTGGAGACCAGTGCCAAGACGGCCGCCAACGTGGAGCAGGCCTTCATCACCATGGCGGCTGAGATCAAGAACCGGGTGGGCAGCGGCCCCACCCCCAATGACAGCCACCAGCCCAGCCCCCACATCCAGAGCGCCCCCCTGCGGCAGAGCCGGGCGGGCGCAGAAGGCGGCGACGCGGGCGCAGGCTGCTGTTAAGGTGGGGAGCCGCCCCGTGTCTGGGACCACAGCCGGGGGCCAGAACTGCTGGGCAGGGGGCCCCTTGCAGGCCCCTATTTATTTGCAATAGATTTTTACAGGCTGCAATGCAGCTCCGTCCAGCCGCCTGGATGCACCCTCCCCTGTCGCTGGCTCCTGGCTGGCTGAATTACTCCTCCAGCCATCCTCTCCTCCCCCAGCCATTCCCGGCACCGCTGCATGGCCGTTCCGCCAGCCCTGCTTCGCGCCCGTCGGGGCTTCCATCGGGGACAAGCTGCGCCACACCAGCCAGGGCCTCGCCAAGTGAGGACGGATTCCCTGTGGGCCGGAGGACGCGGGGCCCCTTCCTGCGTGGAGGTGGAAGTGGCTACTTGTTCAGGCTGAATCCACCCAGCCCGAGGCGCGAAGACAAAAGCAGAAATCCGGGCTGCGCCGTCGTCTGCACCCCTCTTAACGCAGCCCCGGGGGAGCCGAGCGCCGAGTTACTGGTGTCGGGCATCTGGACTTGGTTTCTGCCGGGGGGGGGGGTGAAATGGAATCGGGGGGGGGGGGTTAAAATTTCTGGTGGCTGCCGGGC